ATAGAGCTATGGCACATGGGGTGGTTGAAGTCCTTTGGCTAAAAAATCTTCTAGGGGAGCTTGGAGTTGTTGTTCATAATCCTATGTCTCTTTACTATGACAACAAGGCAGCCATAAACATCGCCAGCAACCCTGTCCTACATGAGAGGACCAAGCACATTGAAGTGGACATACACTTCATAAGAGAAAAATTGGAAAAAAGGGAAATTTGCATTCCTTATGTCAACTCCAAGGAACAACTCGCTGATGTCCTAACAAAAGGACTTCCATACTCGCGGCACAATGAGTTATGTGACAAGGTGGGCATGATAGACATATTCAGCCCAACTTGAGGGGGAGTGTTGTGAGGATTATTTAATTGTTATTTTACAGTTGCTGTTAGTGTGTTGTCAGCTTAAGATGCTGTCAGCTAGTTAGTTTCTTTCTTTCTTATTAGCTTGTTACTAGGGAGTGCCACTAGAGGCATACTTGTAATCTCCCATTCCTTTTATATTAAGTTAATATAAATAACTAAATTGGCGGCGGCCAGAGGAGGTTTTTTTGTGTCTCTCAATCATATCTTTCTCTTCTCTTCACTTTCTCTCTCTCGTCTCTCTCTCTCCATGAATGATTACAATAATAATGAGATGAAGTAGAATATGAGGGCAGGAGGTTGTAGGAATGATATATCAAGATTATGTAGAATAGTGTTCATTGGTCATAAAAAAGTATAAAATGACTGCATGCAACGTGGACCATAGTGAGATGATTTTTTGCCACTAAATAGAAATTTCAGATCCCTTAGGGATGGTAACTCCAATAAAACAACTTCACCAGTTCACCCTTCATCACATGATTCGGGATGATAACTTCAACAAAAACAACTTCTTCCTTCATGAGATGACTCAGTGCATGTTATATATGACATCTTACATTTTTGTGCTGAAAACTATGTAGACACCTCAAAAGATCATGCAAATTTTTGTACCCAAAATCATGACTATTCATGATGTCCTTTTATGAAGTTCACGTGTATGGCGACTACTTTTACCTACTGAATGGATGGTGAGGCCGGAAGAGTAGGTTAGTTCTATCAGGAAACCCATTATCCATGTAGGAAACCTTATTTTTTTAGTTTGGATTCTGTATCCGATACATTGTGCATAGACCTGTTCATGGGCTGGGGCGGGCTTTGCCTATGTATCAACAGAATACATTCAGGCCCGAGCCCAAGCCTGGCCTGACCATGCCTAGGTCTTGAGCCCGAGTGCAGCCCTCATATAAAGATGAAAGAATGGGACTATCCAGGGGTCCACTTGGACCTCTATAATGAGATATAGCAACTGAATGAGTCAGATGTAGAAGATGAAAGAATGGGACTATCCAGGGGTCCACTTGTAACCTGATTGTTGTGTTGTATATATCTGTGTTCAGCTTGATGCTGCATTTTTAATTTGTACTTCCCCAATTGTCTACTTTAATGCAATACTGTTAATTATCAAAAAAAAAAAGAATGGGAAGAAGAATAGGAATGCTTTAATATTGTCAAGAATAAATACTGGGAAAGGGATCAAAAGATAACAACAGTAATATATGCTTAACCTTGTCATTAGCCTTTTCTTTCTCTTATTTCTATGACAACCAAACAGACTGAAAACAATAACTGATTGGGCATTTATCAAAAAAAAAAAAACTGATTGGGCAAAAAATAAAGACAATGAGGTGCATGAGCTTTGGAATTAGAGGTTTCTCTGATTCAACTAGAGGGATTTTGTTTGCGGTTAGCCTTCCATTTTGGCTTTTGGGCTTAGAGGGTGGTAACCTATAGTGGAAATTTTCTTTCCTATATAAATTCCAGATAAACATTCTGATATATATACATCAACCATCCATTAACACTGAGACACCAATGCAACTTCTTAGGCTATAAAAATCCATGAATCCAAGAAATCTCTGAGGTTCTAGTTCTAGGAGCATGTATTACTTATCAAAGGACTTTTCTGCTTTCATCAAATTTAATCTTAGGTAAGGAAACCAGATACTGAGAACACTAAAGATCAGTTGACAGCAATAGGAACTACCCCAGAACTTTTTCTAGAGCTATCATTTGGACCCTTATGTGATCAATCTGGGGTTGGCTACATGGATCCTTTTCCCACTACCCCACTATATAGGGCCATATCATCTGTTAAAAGTATAGGTTAATAAGGTCCTTTCCCCTATTTTATCTCCTCAAAACTAACCCAACCCAAAGTTAATCTGGGTTCATATTTTTCAAACTATAACCCCAAACTTCAACCCAATGGATACAATAGTTGGGTTGGCTCAGGCTAACCCAGCCCAAGTTGCACCCTAGTTCCAATGGATACAATTGTTTCCAATTCTATGTTTCCTAATCTTACCAGCCATCCTTCTCAACATTCTCATCTTAGCTATGGAAGTTTTGCTTTCAAGCATCTATTTATTTAAGTTTTGTCAACTGAGGTTGTTGTGAGCATTTGGCAAACAACATGGTACAAATATAAAAAAACTTCCTTTCTGAAGCTGTATAATTAAATCATCCACAGTCAATGCTAAAGGGAAACATTGATGCCATCTCTTCATCGTGAACCTCTGTAATTAGCACTGCCTTTGGAGTTATTCGTTCATTATTGTTCTATCAGATACGTCTGTAGTTGTACTGGAATATCAGTTTGAAATCCTTTTCTTAACAAAAAGTCAAAAACTATTTTATGTTGTCTCCAAGTCATTAAATGCAAGTGTAGCCTTGTGATATTTCTTTCCTCATTCCTGGATGTCCATGTGCAGCCTCTTACTTTTTATGTGTTTTGGTTTGATATATCCTTGTGTTCATTAGGTTAAGAATGATCATGACGTCAATTTTCTTGTCAGAATCTGATCATTGTGCCATCAAGCATGTTTTTGTGGTTTTACTTGGTTGGTGGAGGAACTGTTCTTCTAGGAAACCTTGTGTATAACATGAAAAAAAAGGAAGGTAGAACCTCAACAAAGGAACAAAATCTGAAGGGGCAATTATGGATGCTCATAGGATTTCAATTTTTCATGAAATGGGAATAGTGGAATTTTGAGGTTTGCTGCTTTTGATGTGGTTTGCCAGGATGGAAGTATCCCCTTGTTTCTCAGTATGTGCAAACATTTTTTATGACAATGCATATATGAAAGGTACTTACTGCCAACCAAAGTTGTTTTGGATAAGCTTTTGCTTTTGTGCTTTTTAGAGAATAAAAGCTTCTGCCAATTAAGGTGTAATATGTTTGCACCTTACTGAATTTTGTGAAAAGCATATTTGGCCCAAAGTGCATAGGAGAAGTATTAATCCAGAATGTTTTTGTATTTTTTGCTGCAGATTTGCTTTTGCTTTCAAGGAATCTACTTCTGAAAGCATGCTTAGCCAAACTTCAAACTTTTTTTTTCTGTTGAAGCACAAAAGTAATTCGAAAAAGCTTATCCAAACACAACTAAATATAAAGAATAAAAAAGCATCACATTCCCCCAGCTGTCCCTTCTGCAATGCAGAACAGGAAACAAATTTGGAACCATTTTCTGGCCAACCTACACCTTAACTGGGTCTTCTCTGGTACCATTCTTGGTTTCTTAAATAGCTGGTACATGAAGGTCTATCTAGCAATGGTAAAATGTTTGGGGAATGTTTCCTGAGACTGTGTTTTGGACTATCTGGATGGAGAGGGACGGCAGAATTTTTTAAGGCAAATCCTCTCAAATTGATGAAATCATACACAACATGACAACATGTCATCTAAAATCTTCTCTTGGTCAAAAATCTTCAAATCTTACAACTGATGCCCTCTTTTTGCATTTATTTCATATACTGATATCTTGTGTATTCTCCCATGTGCAATCAGTCAGTCACTGTAATGGGCTTACCCCTTCTATACATTCAATGCAATATATTTTTCTTCTTTCAAAAAGCAGTTCAAGAATGTGACTGTTTTAAAATTTGAAAAGGAATTTACCTATGAGATATTGGCTTAGTTCTCCATATGGACTTTACAACCTGTTGTGACAAGGTTAGATATGTGGATATGTCTGTCTATTCCCAAATTCTTCTAAAATATGCATAAATTATTGCAGCCTATTTTGTTTAGTCCACTATATTTATTTTTCCTTTATATCTAACCCCTTTTTCTTAAGTGTTTGTTGAGAAGTTTATCTTTCTTTGTTAACCTTGTATGTTCTAGGTAAAGCATCTCCAGGTGACAATGGGCCACCTGGTGCAGATGAATCCTCACTTGTGGTGTGCTTTGGGGAAATGCTAATTGATTTTGTCCCAACTGTTAATGGACTTTCATTAGCTGAAGCACCTGCATTTAAAAAGGCTCCGGGGGGTGCCCCTGCTAATGTTGCTGTTGGTATATCTAGGCTCGGTGGCTCATCTGCTTTTATTGGGAAGGTATCATTTGAAGTTTGTTAACTTTATCTATTTCTTGTGAAATGATATGTTGAGGATGCAACATAAACCATAGTTGGTGCATGGCCCATGCTTCTGCCAAGGGTTGAATTACTTGATGCACAATACATTTTGTATGCTCTTTCCAAGTTTCTTTCCATTATATTTGGCCATAACCTTTCTTGGAAATTCTTAACTTGTTAAGAGCTATAGAAATATATCAAATGGTTCTTCCCTTACTATTGAGGTCTTCTATCATTTTTCTTTTACTTGCAGAGTTCATATCAGTAATGAAATTTATCTATGCATTAGCTATAAACCACGAAAAACTAATTACAGTGGCACTTTTAGTCATTGGTTTCACAGGAAAATGCAGCTAAGCTTATATTGATGTATGATCTTAGTAGGAAAACTTGAACTAATAACAATTTCGTCCAACTAAACCCCAAGAACTCAATAAATCAATATAGATCACTATTCATTTTTTTTAAGTGCCCCAAAAGTAATTCTCGGTGGATGAGTGCCAAACTTTAGGTTTTAGTAGTTAAAAGTAAGAAATAAACAACCTATTTGGGTGGGGGAAGTAAATACCTTACCCCTAAAATCCAAGTGCAAGAGCTCACAAGAACACTAAAAGAAACAAAAACAACCAAGCAAACAAGATCCATACCCTTGGCTAAAAGACTAGGAAAAAGAAGACTTTGAACTCTAATATTAATGAGGTATTGTTATCCATAAAAATGGCAGCTTTGGTAGTGCTTAGAAGCAATAGCTTGATTACCAAAAATCGGAAGTCATGCTATCACATGTGAGGTTGGCTAAGGTGTCAGCAGGTTAATCATAGTAGAGATGTAAGAGATATTGTGGGTGTTTCTTTTTTCCCCTGTACAATCTTGGTTCAATAACACCCTTCCCCTGCCAAAAAAAAAATAAATAAATAAGGAACAAAAAAGGGTGAAGCTGAAAATAAAAAAAAAGGATGCTATTACAGGCTACTCATTTTTCCCCTGCACAATCTTGGTGGTTATACGTTTTTTTTTTCTTTTTTCTTCCTTCCTTTCTTTCTTTTTTTATTTTTTTTTGGTAATGCTTGGTGGTTATACACTCAAATGGACCATAAACTGTTCAACATTTTATTAGGAGGTTATATCCTTGGCATCAGTCCTAAAATCAGCAAATACACTTGTACACTTAAGAAAGAAACATAAGGAGTTGGGGAGCTTCATTTTCTTGGGGTCATCCATTTTGGGATTGCCTTATATTGTTGTGTCCTTGGATCTTAGGACTGTCTATTCTAATACCACATCTTTAGTGGAACCAGCTAAGAGATTGATAATTCCTGAGAAACAAGTTTCCCATCAGGTAAACCCATCTTGATTTATGAAGTAATAAAAAGTCCTAGTACTAAGTAGAGAAGGTCAATGCTATTTCCATCCTTTGCTATGCATTTCTACTAGAATGTTCAATCTGAGAAAACTTACAGAAGAAAGAGTTAATGTGGGATTACATGTTCCTTTTTGTTTACACTTTACAAGTGAACATCTATTTGAGATTTGATAGTTGATCATTTTGTTCTTTCATTAGTGTGCCAGAAGATTCTTCTTCAGATTTAGAACTTGGACCATTATTGTCTCCAAGTGTAAATTATAATAAAGAAAATCATTTAGCTCATTTTTTGTCATATATCCTAATATCCTATTTGTTGTACCCATGTTTTTGTTAGTTTTGGATTATAAGGGAATCTCTACAAACATTGATCCGTTTGGGAGTAAGTTGTTAAAACCATTGATCTTTTTCAAGATGGTTCTTATGCTTGTGATTTATTTTATGTTCTTGTGAAATTAAACCATAGGGTTTCTTCTGGAGTGATTACTGAGCTTTGGTGCACCATATGCTCCATCAACTTCTATGTTGCTTTGAGAAAAACAATATACTCCATTTTCTTAAATTTGTCTGTATTTAACATTCCCTTAAACATGTTAGATATATAACTGAAAATGTAATCTGAAAACATAATTACATAAATCTTGTTTAATTGTTTCTTACCATTACTAGTAGACCTTTTCTATAATTTTTTTATGTGCATAAACTTTTCTGAAGTATGGCTTTGTTATTTGGGCATTTTTATGATAGAAACATCTCAAGCGCTAAATTATTCAAATGCATGTATATTATGTGCAAAAACGTCTCTTACTGATCAAGAAAAAAAAAACCTTCTCTAAAGTCATCATACGGACACCTTGGATCACTTTCAGATGTTATGGATGGGTCATTCCAATTATATACAATTCCAATATTTAAGGATTATTAACAAATAGTATGTCTCTCAAAATGGAGCTGATTAGCAAAAATGTTGTTTTATAGAAGTAAAATAATATCAGTCTTGTTTCCAAATGAATGTGTTTCTCTTGTGGAGGTTTGTCCCATATTATTTGATTACCTTGAGACATTATTTGATTATGACCTATCATCTTTAACTGGTACTTTAATTTCTTTTTGTATTTAAAACTAATATGTCCTTAAGATATATGTATGAAAAGCACTTCATTGCATTTAGATTGATCCACAAAGCAGTTACCCAGTAAGCATGTTCAGAACCTTGATATGATAGGCCATGTTTCTTCTTCTTCTTTTTTTTTTTTTTTTTTTGGGGGGGGGGGCTGTTTGATTTCAAATTGTTCAAGGAGCTCTACATCTTGATTCTTAATCAATTTCTATGTGTCATTTTCCTTGATACTATCTGGTAGCATATTTAGAATCCCTCAATTCATTGTAGTGGCTGTTGAGTAATTAGTAAGAATTTTGTTGTTATTTATCAATAAGAAGCAATTCAATAAGAAGCAATTTGTTGATGATTAAAGGCTGTGCTATTTCTGTATCTGATTATTCATATTTATCTAAAGCCAATAGATGCATAAATGCTTGCAGATACTGATGGCCATAATAATCCTGTTTAGACTGCATATATGTGTTAGACAATTTTACATCTCCATTAGTCAGATACACACTAAATAGACATAAAGTTCAATTATATTTCACTTCTTCTCCTTGGAGTTAGCTGGTACCTGGTGGTGGTCGTTCCAATGCCAAATCTGTATATTTCCTGCATCTGTGTTATTACATTTCATTGTGAAATGAATCCTGGAAATCTGTTTCTTAATGTTCTTCTCTTGGAACTTTCATTTTGTATGACCACATCCTCAGGTTGGTGAAGATGAATTTGGATACATGCTTGCTGACATTTTAAAGGAGAACAATGTGAATAATGAAGGAATGTGTTTTGATCCTCATGCCCGAACTGCTTTAGCATTTGTTACACTGAGGAGTGATGGAGAACGTGAGTTCATGTTTTACCGTAATCCAAGTGCTGATATGCTTCTTAAAGAATCAGAGCTTGACTTTGAGATCATTAAGAAGGTACTAAGACTTTGCTAATACTAGCAGTTTAAATGGATGCCTCCTACTTGCAGATTTTAAATTATGTTTTTAGACTTTATTTCTTTAATGATATTATTTTTCTTTTTGATGGTTTTTCATTTGATATTGTTTTCTGGTGTTTATTGTAAACCTTCTGGCAGGCAAAAATATTTCATTATGGTTCTATAAGTCTTATTACAGAACCTTGCAAATCAGCCCACATTGTTGCAGCAAAATCTGCAAAGGATGCGGGTGTGCTTCTGTCATATGATCCCAATCTCAGGCTTCCATTATGGCCATCTGCAGAGAGTGCCAGAGAAGGAATTCTGAGCATTTGGGACATGGCTGACGTTATTAAGGTGCCTTTCCTCCTAGTTCAACAATGTGCTCTTAACTCACAATTTATATGTTTTATCCATTTTCAGAATGGGAATATGCAAAAACCAAAAACACAACAAATATGTCAATGACTACTACTTCTGACATTTTGATTATAATAATAATCAGATAAGTGAAGAAGAAATTTCTTTTCTGACAAAAGGAGAAGATCCTTATGATGATACTGTTGTCCGTAAACTTATCCATCCAAATCTCAAATTGCTTCTTGTGACTGAGGGCCCAGATGGCTGCAGATATTACACTAAGGTAAGCATCCCATGTTAGATTTTTTTCCCCATCACCTATGAATTTCTAATGTTATTTTTTTTCATGTGTTTTTTGTTTCAACTGATTATTGGTTCTTTGATTTAGATTAGCCTTTTCTGTCATGATTTGTAACAAAGGTTTATTGAATGAATAAAATAGAAAAACTTAGAAAAAAAAAAGTGTTTTAGAAGAATTCTCATGTAGAAGGTCTGGGAAATGTGTCAGCTAACTTAATTCTGAGTCTTACAAAACGAGAGAAAATGATTTGATATCGTAAAGACCTGAACATGACATTGAAGATAGTGAGAACTCATAACAGTGCTCAAACATTTTATTTTTATGAATTTGTAGCCAGTTGACAAAAAGAAATTGAGTACTCGTGGAACCACAGGTTTCAGGCTATCATCAAAGCTGAGCTGTAACCATGGTGCTCTCTAACCTCTTTCAGAAGCACCTTCTCATAAGTCATTAGTAGGTGAAAACCATAAGCTTATTTTAGTTCAGGTTATTTTGTAACTATGGTATTTGGCAAAAACCATTCACCTCTCTTGAAGTCTAGAGAAATCCACTTTGTCCAATGATACTGACCAACCAGGTCCACTGCATTGTTATTAAATTTCCATAGATATCTACATCCCTCGCACAAAAAGGTTTTCTTGGAGGCCCTTGGAAAACCATGCAGCCCCCACTGTACCAAAAAAATAAAAATAAAAAAAGCTTTCAAAATCAAGACCCCATGATGTAGGACCAGCTCAGTTCTAGTCCTAAGATAATGTTGAATGGTCGGTCCCTTAGAGCTGAGATCTTTGCAATTATGGAAGGAGTCTAGAAAGCTAAAGAGATGAATATCAAAAAACTCATAATTGAAGGGGACTCGGAGGTGGTGATAGGGTGGTTGAATAAAGACAACAGTGGCTTATGGAATTACAGCAATGAAAGGAGGAAATTTAAGTGGCTGGTGCAAGAGATGGAAGTTAAGATGAGTTGGTTTAAAAGATCAGCTAATTCTTTTATTGATGGATTAGCTAAACAAGGGGTGGAAAGGGAATCAATGTTTTGGGTTAAGTTGTAATCTTATTGTTTTTTCCTTTTTCTTTTCTTTTCTTGGGGGCTCAAGTTGTAATTGGAAGATAAGAGAGTTTGTCTTCCTTTTTGTAATTATTCTTTTGTTGAATTAATGCAATTGTTATTGATAAAAAAAAAAAGATAATGTTGAATGGTCTTCTTGATCAGAGTTTTATGGCTGTTGATGGCTGTAATGGTTTCTTGAAGGAATAAGAGGGAAAATAGGGAGAGAAAGAAGAGAGAAAATATCTGGAATCACTCACAGGGTGCCTAGAATCACTCTAGGGCATGGGAATCACTCACCATAGCTAGCATAAGCTGAAGAAAACTCAATATACTTCATTGCCTGTGTAAAATGTCCATGCATATTTATAGACTCTAAACTCATAATAATCCTAAGAGTCATACTGTTAGACTCAATAACTCTAATCCTACTTATGCAATGACTCTGAAATTTTAAACATAAACAAACTATAACTAGACAACCAAACCCTATTATTGGACCCCACAGAAAATTGCAAAAATGACAAAAATGCCCCCACTGTCCAAAAATACAGAAATACATAAAATATCATGCAATACCAATTTAACTCTTCAGCTCCTAAATCACCCCAAGGGGTTTTCTCAGAGGCCCTTAGAGAACCATCTACCTTTCTTATAACCCCTGCTTCCTCCATGATGATAAGTGTACCCTAATTCATCATGTCACAAACCTTTTTTTTTTTTTTGAAGCAGGAAATTAAGGTCAGCCTTATTCTCCCAGATACATTGCTAATCTCATTGTCAGAGATAATATAAAAAGGCCATTGCGCCCAGTTATCTGGGGTCTTGGGAGTAGACTGGATATGGTCCTAACTGCTGGCTTTTTTTTTTTTTTTGCACGAAGTGGCTGCTTTCAGACTCAAACCCGTGTTCTCATGCTTGCCAGTCCAAGCTTTTACTGTATCAATTTTGCCAACCTGTGAATAGTCTTCTGTGAAATATGTGGCTTCTATGGACATAGACCCCAACCAATCTCATTCTGGAATAAGTTTGTGACATGCATCAGATGTTGTACCAGACCTGTGTGTTCTGTGCGAGAAGTCTTAAAAATAAGAAGTTATTGCATTCAAAGACTTGTCACATATAAAGAACTGTTATGTAATCTGAGATTTTCAGGTTGAGCAAGTCAAACACCAAGCACCATATTTGACATAATCGCACTGGTCTTAGTTTTGAGTTCTACATGATACTTGCTTAATTGAACAAAACCTTCTGTATGGCATATCCTGTCAAAGTAGATATTCTTTCTCACTAGTTCTATCAGCATCTCTTTCAGTATTCCTTAGTTCTTAATTCTGCATATGTTAATGGATGTATATACGTTCTCCCAGATACTCTCTCTCTCTCTCTCTCTCTCTCTCTCGTCTGGATCTCCTCCTAAACTTAAGGCTCTGTTCTAAGTACACTAACCAATGAGAGAATTCATCCAAATTCACTGGGGATGGTTTTGCCTTTTTGAGCCTGATCAATCAAAACCACCCTAGCAAATTTTAATGAATTCTCATTGATTAGTGTACAACCTAGCACAGCCTTGAGTGTGGTTTTCTGTTAGTTCACAATATAAGTTTAGTTATACTTTGGAATGAAAAACATGAATCTTCAACTGTACAGGACTTTCATGGGAGGGTTGGTGGTTTAAAGGTGGACGCTGTAGACACTACTGGTGCTGGAGATGCTTTTGTTGCTGGAATTTTATCACAGTTGGCTACTAATTTCTCCTTAATTCAGGTATTTATGTTTGTAGAAGCCTAGAAGGGTACCCATTTCAATTCTTGTACTGTGCAAATAGTGCCTGCAAAATTATTTCTCCCATTGCTGCTGAATTTGATTATTGTATGCCCTCTTGATTGTCCACCCCCCTCCCACATCATTCATTGCTGTTCCTATTTACGTTGGCACTTGGCATTAGTGGTTACAATTATCTAAAACATGACTGTATACCAGGATTCTTATTCACTGTGGGTAAAATATCATTTGCTATGTAGACACCTGACTTTTCAGTAAGCATATACAATATATGAATCACAAGAAGGCACACATTTCAAATCCCATATATAGGCTTGTGGCTTGTGATTCTTTCACTTGAAACAATGTGAGATTGTCAGCCAGAGTGGGTTGTAAGATCTGAAATATATTTGGGGGATTCCAGGTCTGGTGGGTTGAATATAGCTTTGATTCTGTAATTCAAGCTTTACCTGATGGCCAGTATTTTGCTGCTGGATTTTCTCCCCTTGTCTATCAAGTGGACTAAGGAATACAACTTTATCAATAAAAACATCTTTGATCATTCTTAATGGTCAAAAAAGAGGGAAAACACTTGTGCTGTCATTTTTGTATGTAGACCCCAGTGAGTGTTGTTAGAAACTTGGAATGTTTTTCTGTTGTCAAGCTGTCAAACTCCTGATTGTATGATTTGAGCATGGTCAAGGTACATTGAGGGTTTGCATATACCATTTACCCTAGTCCCCATCTACTTGAATATTTTAACAGGCATTGAAAATATCAAGATTTCCTTTCCTTTGGGTGGTGGACTGGTGGTGTGTTTCTGAGACCTTTCTGGTGAAGTTGTTACAATAAACTCTAATAATAAGTCTTATTACTGTTGCAACTCCCTAGATGACATTGCCAATAATGTATAATCCTTTTTCTTATCAGCAGAAAAAATATTTTATTATATTTGATTATAGATGAGGTTAGTACAACTTGATGACAGAAATGTCATCCCTACCACCAATCAAAATCAAGTTTACATAGAAAAGCCCAAAACAGTTGCTGCCTCCTTATTTGGCAAGGGAGTCAAGCTAGCCCATTTGCACTCCTTGCCCACTTGAATCCAGCAGTTATATCCTTTGCAATCCCTTCCACTTCCCTTTAAACGTATTTGAGAATCCCCTTTCTACCTCCACCTGTCTATAACCCAGTTGCTTTGCTAACCGAAGACCTTGCAGTAATATCAACAATTCAGCCTTCAGGGAGTACCCCTCCTATTCTTGCCAAACACGGGTTACCAAAGGAGCTCCCATCAAAATTCAATTTTACTTTGTTGCCTTTTGAGTGTTTCCACTCCACTCTTATTCTTTCTCTCAAAAACTATGCTACTCTATCAATTTCCTATATAAACCTGTGCAGCTATGCTCCTATTAATTCAACTTCCTGTATCAATTTGCTATGAGCTTCTTACATAAATTCATATTAATTAAACCTAGGTTGCCTGCATGAGAGGAAAACAAAATCTTTCAAGTTACCACCATGCTTTGCTACAACAATTTATTAAAATTAGAAAGGAAAGGAAAAAAAAATATCTGCTAGTTGGAACAAGTAATTATCAAGTGTAAATGAAATTTATATTGTTTTCAAACCTTGTATAAATTTATTATGTTTAAAAAAATTAAAAAAAAACTGTATACTCAAAGTACAATCATCTATATTTCCCATTATGCATTCATCATTGATCATGCACTAATCTTATTATCTCTGTACAGGAAGAAGACCGACTACGAGATGCTCTTAGATTTGCAAATGCTTGTGGTGCATTGACAGTTACGGAGAGAGGTGCCATTCCGGCTTTGCCAACTAGAGAGGCTGTGCTCAAAGCATTGCTTAATGCTGTCCCCTAGGTTTTGTGTTGTAATGCGTGGAAGTAAAACCAGTCTTACAACCATGAAGAGAAGTTTGTAAAGATATTTCTACTTGACTCAGTCCAGAAATGTTATCATGAACTCTTTCCTGCAAGTGCAATCATATCCAAGCTTGTATATAATAATAAAATCCAATTCACTCAGATTTCACTTTGCTTTTGGCTTGCAAGAATTGCAGCCATTTGGGACTGACTCAAGAGCCAATTGGAATGAGATTTTGGCTTCCTGCACAACTATGGCTCTCAGATTACAGTTAATTCAATCCAGAGAGAGATTGGTGGAGAGAGAGAGAGAGAGAGAGAGAGAGAGAGAGGAATAAAACGCAACATCTCATTTAGCTATCAAGAATGCTTGATTCAAGTCTCAAAATGGAGGCACCCATTCTTAAAAATTTTCAAACACTACAACTAGAAGAGACATAACTCAACTCAGTCATTCCCTAAACATTCACCGTTCATTCATTTCTATATCCGTCATTTAGATCACTGACAAGTGACAATTAATCGTGTAGGGTTCCCAAGATATCGTCGTCTCTGTACAAATGGTACCTACACCCACAAAATCAGAAGACATGAATTAGATTAAAGATCTTCATACATACATTCATTCATGACAGGCTTGAGCGAAAGAGAGAATGAAGCAGAGCTATACTCTTTGTCACCGAGCTTGACTTGGGTGCCGCCGTATTCCGGCAAGAGAACAGTTTCCCCTTCCTTCACAGATACAGGGATGAGGTTCCCCTCCTTGTCTCGTGTCCCCGGACCTACCGCCACCACCTTCCCAGAGTTCAGCTGCTTGAATGCACCAAAAATCATTAAGCAAAATCAAAACCAATCGATCAATCAACTGACAGTACTGACTAGTGAAGCTCATTATACCTTTGGGCCTTTGTCGGGGAGAAGAATACCGGAGTTGGTCTTAGAGGGAGGAACGATCTTCTCCACCAAGATCCGGTTCAAGCTTGGTAGCAAACGCTTCGCCATCTCCCGATCTCTCGAGCGCAATTAGGGTTTTTCCCTTGTGACTGATCAGACGAAGTAGCGAACGATGAGAGAGGGCCTGCTGTTAATCTCTCTTTTAAACGATTGACATAGCGAGGAGTCGCGGGAGTAAGCAGTTCGGTAGCTTCTAGAATCCCAGATGGTCGCAGAAATTTCTAGATCTTAGGGTTTTGGGAGTTTTTACGTCTGCCAGGCCCAGCACGGACCTAAATCTGGACTGGGCTTCGATCTTTGCAATTGGTCACAACCCATAATATGGCCCAGCTCCTTCTCGGGCTGACCCAGACTACTAGCCCACTCATGAGGATATTCCACGGGTCTGGCATTGCGATTCTCTGTCCAATTCAGTCTGTTTCTTAGATGAGGGGCCCACTATATTTGCCTTTGTGCAACCCAAGTCCACGTCATCCCTCCCAATTTGTCTTAGCGTTCTGCCCAATTCTTCTATTTTTTTATACATAAAGTTATTTGTGATAGAGGGTAAAATTGAATGAATGTTTGGAAATGTCTTTTTGCTGAAGTTTTCCACTGAACGAAGGATGGGGAGAGGAATATGGAGAGCCCTTTGGACTTCGGAGCTCAAGCAAATTGCCATCTGGAATATCCTTCGTACCCAGTTATGCTATGTTTGTTTTCAGCGCAAATCCTAATTGGATACAAATTTGCACCCAATTCAATTTTATATCTACTTTATTTGCATTTCTATCTGATACAAAATGTCTCTTTCTCTCTCTCTCTATCTATCTATCTATCTATCTATATATATATATATATATATATATATATATATATATATATAGATAGATTTATTGGAAGTGCCAAATTTATATTTCAAAAATGATGCAAAATATTCACGGCCTGCCTCTGATCTCAGTTTTTCTCATATAAAATGGGATCACATCATTTGTTTCCTTAATTTCTCAAAGAAATAATCCTCCTCCTACCTCCATTCTCTTTCAAATATGGTGGGGATCACGTCATTTTATTTCTTATTTTTAACAATAAGATTTTTCTTTGTTGCACCCCTGAGAAGGCTGAGGCACTTGTTTACTCTTTGCTCTTCAATGAACTGTTGATCTGAACTTCCACACAATTATCATTGAGGGCTCTTATCATTGTAAAGTTGCTGAAGGACCATGATGCTCCTCCTCCATGGCGCATTTCCTCTATCATAAATGATTGTCTAGCTTCTCTCTCAATTACATAATTTATCAATCACTTGAGACCGGATTTCATTCTCACAAAATTTGTCCTCTTTACTCTCATTCATGGGATGGTGTGAAGGCAAATTTTGTGAGGATGAAATCTGGTCTCGAGTGATTGATACACAGCTGCAAGTGTAAGTGAGGACTGTGTGAAAGACAAATTCTGTGAGGATGAAATCCTATCTTGAGCGATTGATACACAGTTGCAAGTGGATGAAATCCAGATTCCTATCACTCATGTTGCTGGAACAGGGAACATTCTTGCCCATAATATTAAAAAGTATACAGAAACTCTGGGCATATTTGAATCATCTACCGGCCCCCTTCAGTTCATGCTCTCTGATTTTCAAGTATATTTTGTGATGGTTTATAACCAAGGTTTTCAAAACTAAATTGGACAATAAACCGTTCAGGGGTCTGGTTTTTGGGTCGAAGGGTCTGACTGTTCGAACCGAATAGACGGTCCGTTCTAACAAAAAAGTCAAAAACTGTTGAATGGTTCGAACGATTCGATCACTTGGGTCAGTGATTTACTGACCAAATCAATGGTTTTTTGCCAAAAACAGTTCTAGGGTAAAATGGAACCGGTCTAGTCCGGTTTTGAAAACCATGCTTAAAACAATTACACTCTCATGCATGGGCAGATGAAGTTGCACTATAAATAGGCCAAGCCTTAGGGAAATCTCTTTAATCAACCCAACTAGAAAACAAGGAACAAAGTGATCTGGTTTTAAAAACAGTAATAGTATTAGAAGTAGAACGTTCCTTCAAATGGGTTGGGTGGTGATGTAGCATGATCTAGCTGCTCCCTGCTAGAGGTGATCCGGCTTCCAGTCAGACGGCGGACTAGGTTGATCTGCAAGAAGAGGATCAGAGAACCTGGGGTGGCTAACCCGGCGAGGTCGCTCCGATGCTTAAGTTAGCAAACTTGTTGCGAGCCAAAAAATGTTGAGAATATTGAGAGCTAGAGAGCAGAGAAATCACGTGTACCTCATGCCCCCGAGGTTGAAGCCTTTATATAACTGAGTCCTCACAGGTTTCGCGGATTGGTTCCGGGATCTTCATCACAATGGGATCTGTTTCCACGTTAATTGAGGGATAACATCGTCAACTGATAAGGCTTATCAATTCCACCCGAATCGGGCGGGGAGGAGATAATGCTAGCTATTACGCGACGTGATCCCGTGAGGTTCGGAATCTGTTGGAGGGATTTCCGAGGTCACCAGGTGGTGATCTGAAGTTAGTATCCCCGAGCTGATGCTTTTAGGTTCCGAACTGAGTTGAATGCCGAAGTGCCTTGGGATCGAAGTGATCCTGTTGCGATCTGGTACCGAGGTGATCTCGTCCCAAGGTCACCTTATCCCGAGGTGGTTGAATATCCGAGCTCGATCTATTGCGGACTACTCGTGTTAGGCTGAGTTGTCATCTCTTGGTCAGGTCGTGTCCACATGTCCCCTCTTTACTAGGTCGGGCCAAATCACCCTTCATCAATTGCCCCCACTCCCCAAGCCAGGGGTCCTGACCCGGTGCGGGGAGTTCATGATGAGTCCAAGTGGATTTGGCCCGAGGTCCAGGCGGCTTGTCGGGCGAATCGCTGGTCGGACCTGTTCGGCTACCTGGCTCAACTAGGAATAACCCAGGTCGCATCTAGTCTACGCATAGACGTCACACGACACATGGCACATGTTGGGCGGATTTGGCCCTCCAATGATATTGTGACACATGGCACCTCGGAACAATTAGGTGACACCCGAAACCACTTAGGCAACAACTTGCCTTAGCCAAGTTGATGGTGTCCCACCTGGCGGCCTGGCATGGGCGCTGACAAATTCGGCATGCATATCCAAACACTCCCACGTGCCGAACGATCCGGAGGGTGGTCAACGTGCATGGCGGTTACCTCAGGGAATCTCGGACTACTTAGACGACTTCTCGGAAATCTCGGATGTGATGCGTGAAGCCCACGCCAAACTATGCCTATATAAAGGCACCAACCCCAATGGCATAGGGGGCAAGTAAGCATATTCTAGCTCTCATACTTTGTGATTTTTAGCTCGCAATCTACTATGAGAGTACTGACTTAAGCATCAGAGCGACCTCGCCGGGTTAGCCACCCCGGGTCCTCTAACATTGATTCCTTGCAGGTCTCTAAAGAACTACGAAACTAAACAATCAATCCAGCTTGCCACCAGGTAGCTCGGCAACTAATAGGTAGCTCGACCCTTTGGTAAGCTCGACACTCTGGTCAGCTCAACACTCTAGTTAGCTCGTCACCTAACCTGCCTAACTCGGCCCAGTCAGTTTGGCACCTAACCTGCCCAGCTTGGCCCAGTTAACTCGGCACCTAATCTGCCCCTAGTTCGGCCTGGTCAGTTCGGCATCCAGGTCCTCATCCAACAAAAGTTAACTTCGGCCTCTAAATCATCGGTTAGTTGGAAGCAGACCAAATGACGAAGTAGTTAGCACAAAAAGTTGATACATCACCAAAAATTGATTCATCATGTGGGCTTTTAATTGTTTCCCCACCTTTATTCATGATAAAATGATCGGTTTAGGAGCTTTTTGATCATGATTTTAAGTAGCTGAACCAAATGACTTAGTTTAATGATTTTATATTTTACTAGGTTAAATAATGAAGTAATAAAATATTTAAGGATACAATAATCAAGCCAGCCAACGTCAACCATCAAGAATCTCACAACCCCGTATGACATGTTAGTTCACATTGACTTGGAGTCCGGATTTACTCCTTCCTCACATAATGCTTCTCACACTACCTTCACAGAATGCATGACCTATACATGGGGGCAAAGAGAAATTGAAAGTTAGGCTCAATTGAGAAAGAGTACAAATACAAAGCCTTGTACTTTATATTACTAAACACCCTATCAACTTCCAAAAAATAAAATAAAGGTCATAATAGAAAGGAGCCCAGAGTAAAATGGTTTGCAATGTTGTTTTTCTGCATCTCTGAGTAAAATTATTTTTCCTTAGGTTCAGTTTGGAAGGAGTACAAATGCAAATATGTAGAGTGCAAAACCTTATATTTTATATTATTTTGTATGTATTTGTATTGTATATATTTGCATTTGCATTCTTTTCAAACTGAGCCTTAATGTTGTCTTTAAAAATAACTTGATATGATTTGCAATTAAAGATGATGGAATGACAACCATTATAATAGGCTATAATCATTTATTCTGATGACCCAATAGGTGAGATAGTCACTTGGGGTCTCTCTCCGAGTATGGAGGCATGGGATCAAATGCGTGTAACCAAGGTTCAAAGTATTGATACGTATTGGTCTGTATCAGTTGATATGTATCATGCCGGGAGCTTTCCAATACACTCCTACATGAATTCTATCGGGTCAGACTATGGTTTAAAGAGTAACCGAGACTTAAACCAGTCTTTTTAAATCAATTTAAAAAAAATAAATAAAACATAAAAAAAAGCATTGAGGGTATCAACTTGTGTCGATAATTAAAACATGTGCACTCTGCTCTTTTCCCACCTCTTAATGCTCAAAATTAATGCACTTTTGTCTTTGTGGAATGTTCCGGTTATCTAAAGAAATAGGGAACATTGGAAATTGCTTGAATATGAAGCGAAGAACATTGATCTAAAGAATGGGAAAAGCATCAATACATGTTGAGGTGCATCTTCAATGCTAGGCAAGTGGTCACGTATTGGTTCAGTAGAGGTGTTTTTAACTCGTCCAAGGGTTAGCTGGTCAACCCTGGCAACTCCTGCATTCGTCAACCTCTAACCAACTATACCACAAAAAAAAAGGGTAAAAGACTTTGAAACCGGATCTGCTCTTCACACAGGGCGCCTCACTCTTATACGCATATCATACCATGCATTGGGAACGCCTTTCTACTTATATTATTATAAGAAAAGAACAGGGATTAAGAAATTCAAGGACTTTTAAGGT